GACATGGAATTTGACACTTGTCGCCATTTTATTGGCTCAAAATTTAATTGCCTACAGCCCCTGTTGGGCGCGCAAGGATTCTCCCGGTTATTTTCGTCGCAATAATCTCGGGATGCGCCGCCTATCTCCTCTCTATAGCAAAGAGCTGCATTTTTTGGAAAATATGTATATGTGATCGAAGTTATTTTGATTTGTTGGATATACATGCAGTGTATTGTTTGTTTGTATTACTATTTGATGAGAACAAATTCTTATACGAGACAGTCTGCTAATATTTAGGCTGGTCAATCAGTCATATCATTTGAAAAAAAAAAATGTTTATCGATACTATCAAATAATGTGATATTTTGAAAATACTATATCCTATTTATAAATATTTACCAAAACAATCTCAATTTTAAACTATATTAATCAATCTACCCAAAATACCAACAATAATGTAAATTTGATCCTTTGGTCCTAAAGTCTACATATCAATAACTTATTATGAAATAAAACCCAACCCGTGTATTTATCTAGGTCTTAACGACTCGAATTATGATCCTAGGATCGTTATTAATAATAACTACACGACTTGTGTACCTACATCAAATTACTATATCACCAGTCATGGTAATTTTTTTTTTCTTTTTCTGTAAAAGCAGAACTTACACCCAGTCTCATGCGTAACATGCGCGAAAAATGCGGCAACCTCGCGCCTAGCAACATCCTGGGACCCCGTCCCGAACTGAGGGTACGACCTGGCCGCCTGCAGAAAAGCAGATCGGGTGTAGAACCCTCTCCCAGGACAATTTGCCCCAGCCCGATTAGCGATCCCGTTGAAAAAGGCATCCGTCACGATATTCCCGAGATTTCCACCTCCTTGGGATGCGTAGCACGGGCCGGCCTGGCACCCGTCCCCGCAGTACGGATCCCCGGTGCCGCAATAGCCGAACCGGCTGCAGCACAAGTTGTTGGTACAACCGCAGTTCTGGGCCGAGGCACATTGGGCCCCGGCGACCAAAAGGAAGGCTAAGGCCAGAAGCCCGTGAATTGGGGGAAGAGATTTTTTTGTGGTGAAAGAATTCATGTTGTGTGTTTGTGTGTGGGTTTGCAAGAGGAGGGATGATAAGATATTTATAGTGTTAGAGCCAAGTTGCAGCCATCTGTCTTGTGTACTACGTTGGAAAAATTATTGTGCTAAATGTATAATTGACTCTGACTTTGTCAAAGGAAAAATGGTGATGATTTTCTCTCCTTTTATTTTATTTTATTTTTTTTTTTTGTTTTGTTTATAATTTATTTTTAAGGAGGGATGGAGTTACACGCGTGATAGATTCTTGTTAGGATATTGTGATTGGTATTTTTATTTTCTTTAGGTTAATTTTGTTAGATTTTGATTAATCGTGTCCCACATGGATATGTACTAAAGTTGGGTATAATCTTTTAGTATAAACTAGTAAAGTGCACGTGCGATGCACGTTGTGTCGATTGATTTTTGTGGAGTAAGTTTGTAAAATAAATTAATTTATTTATTAAACATATCATTGCATAAATGAAGTAAAATATAGAAAAAATGAGATCATA